GGGTCCAAGGGTGCCTCTACCCCTCCAGACTGGGAGGAGATGCTGAATTCCTTTGGGGTCCCAGGATTCCAGCTGTTCCACGTGGCCACGAGACGGCATCAGATCTTCCACTTTCCTCCACCTGGCTTTCCTCCAAATAGACTTATTTTCAGGAATTAGATTATTTTAACTGAAATTTAAGAGATCTCTCTTTGGGACACACCTGTTTGCACAGGCCTACAATCCCTGCACTCTGGGAGGTGAGCCAGGAGGATCCAAAGTTAGAGCCCAGTCAGGCAATCTAGACACTTTGTGAGGCTCTGCCTCAAAAGTAAAAACAGGGCTGGTATATAGCTCAGTGTGAAGGCCCTGGGTTCAAAGCCCATTGCCACCAAAAATAAAAACTAAAAAGAAAAGAAAAGGAGGTTTCTGTCAGGAATGGGTTTCAACCTGGGATGCTCTAATGTGGCTCACGGGCCAGCAGCCTGGGCTGCAGTCTCAGAGCCACACAGCCCTGCTGGAAGGAAGCTGCCCCCTTCGGAGATCCCCCCCACCCCCCACCCATGGGAGGTACTAGTCAGCCCTTTGTTCTTCCCTTTTTCTTTTGTCTTTTTCCTTTGTTTTTCCAAAATGTTACAGTATTGCTGGGTATACTGGTGCACACCTGTAACCCCAGTACTCTCCGGAGGCTGAGGCAGGAGGATCACGGAGATTCAAAGCCAGCCTGGGCTGCAGAGTGAGTTCAAGGCCAGCCTGAACTGCATAGCAAAACCCTGTTTCCACAAACAAGCACCAAACTAAGACAAGCTCTCCCTGTGGCCTCGGTTGGGCTCAAGTGATCCTCTGTGCTCAGCCTCCTGAGCTCTGGGATCGGGGCCTTTTGACAGTCTCATCTGTCGAGAGCAGATATCTGCCCAGCATTCTCTACATGCCAGGCATGTGGGGAATATTTTACAAGCCTGACTTCTTACTACGATATGAATTTCACAGGTAAAGCAGAGCGCCGAGGTGAGTCAGCGCCTCACCTGATGGGATCAGGGTGGCATGTGGAGAGGGGTTCAAGTCCCCTGCTCCCCTGAAGGTGACAGAGGGGCCAAAAAGAATCAGAGAAGCCAGGCCATTGGGTGCTGGCAGGCTGAGCCTGGGCTCAATGACCACGGCCACCACCTGGGCCCCTGCCACCCACTGACTACTGAGGAAGGGCAAAAGAGAGGAGCTGGTTATAGGGATAAGGGGTCCAGTGACCGCGACACAGCCCCAGAATGGGCTCCCCTGGGTCACCAGCCCTGCCCACAGCTAGAGCCCACAAAATGCTCATTGCTGTACTATACCTCATGGAATGGTCACAGATTGTGCAACTTGGTGGTCAGGTGGGGTGGTACACACTCGTAACCCGTGCTATGAGGGAGGCTGGAGCAGGAGGGTCACAAGTCTGTGCCCAGCCTGTGGCCGGGCATCATGGCACCTGTGAGTCGTCACACAGAACACAGGTCTCTCAGGGTCACTGAGTGGCCCAGGTGGGGCTCGAACATGCAATCCCACCTCAGCTTCCTGGACCACAGGAGTATACCACCATACCCAGCTAATCTTTCAAGCTAAATTTTTTCATTTTAGTGACCCAGTGACTCAGTGACCCCGAGAGACCTGTGCTCTGTGTGACGACTCACAGGTGCCATGATGCCCGGCCTCAGGCTGGGCACAGACTTGTGACCCTCCTGCTCCAGCCTCCCTCATAGCTGGGGTTACGAGTTGTGCCACCCCACCTGACCACATCTTTAGCTTTCCAGAAGAGCTGCAGAGATAGCACAGAGAGCTCCTTTACATCCACACCATTCCTTCTAATGCCATCATTGTAGGGTTTTCCTTGGGCCGTCTGTCACAGTGAGAAAACTAACAGAGACATGTCACTCTGAGCTAAACTTCAGGCTGCGTCCACCTTCGTCTCTCTACTGTCATCCCTCTTCCTCTATTGGATGCCAAGGAGCACCGAGATTTGTCTGTTTGCAAAGTTCTCTCCTGGCTCTAACACGGGAGACAGAAGCCTTCATGCTAAATGAGGGCTGGGCTGTGTGAGCTTGGGGAAGGCTATCACCCTCTCTGAGTCTCCATCTCTTCAGCTGCAGAAAGCAGATGACACAGCACCTTGAGGGAGCTCCGAGGTACTCATCTCCTGGCTCCACAGAGCACTTAGCAGGGCTCCTAAGAGCCCCAGGAACCGCTGGTAAAGCTCCCCTGGGGATGAGCCCAATGTTGACCCAGAGCGACAAACTCGCCCGGGCCAGAACCACCCGAAAAGGGCTGCTGCAAAGAAGATGTGGTCCTTCTCATCTCAGAAACCAGGACCAGCGTGGACATTACAGGAGGACAGGGGCAAAAGCTGAAGTCTTGTATCCTATCTGCCCACCAGGAAACTTCGCGGTCTTGAACAGATTCTTCTGCCTCGGGTCTCAGCACCAACACCTTGTCCAAGAGGTCCAGGCAGCTGCTTACCAGGGCTGGAGAGCTGTCCCAGAAAGCCTTCAAGGCATGGGGAAGCCCTTGGTTGCAGTCAAGATAGTCAAAGAAGGCCCTGAGCCTGGCATGGGGATCCCAGTGCTCAGAAGGCTGAAGCAGGAGAATCACAAGTTCAAGGCTAGCCTGGGCTACGTGGTGGTATACACCTGTCATCCTGGCACTTGGGAGGCTGAGGCAAGAGAACTGTAAATTCAAGCCCAGCCTGGGAAATTTAGTGAGACCCTGTCTCAAAATAAAAACTGAAAAGGCCTTAGGAAATAGCTCAGTGCAAAGGACCCGAGCTCAATCCCTGGTGCCACCAGTCAAAAATAAAGATGAGCAAAAGGGCAAGAGTAGCAGGGTTTCCCAGCCAGGCTGGGACCGTGGTCTCCTTGAGATTCCCACCTCACTGGTCTTGGATCTAACAGGGCACACACTGAGCTCTGCGTAGAGAAGGGTGTCCAGCATCTGCCTGTCCCTGCATCTGTCCATCATCCACCCAACTCACCCACCATCCAGTCCCCTGCCTGCTCACCCCTCCACACTGGTGTCTGACGCTCCCACGGTAGGCACCGTGCTGGGTGCTGGGGAGCTGGGGAGCCAGTCCCTTCCCTCATGGAGCTTTCCTTCCAGCCTGCTAGGTCTGGGTCAAAGTCATTTGTTTCCTAAGAGTCTACCAGTGTCTGGCACATAACAGGTACATGGTAAATGCTTGTTGAGTGACTAACTGATCTCCTACTTAGTCATGTGTCTGCCTTTTTGACCGATGTACTGGGTAATTCTGAGGATGTTAATGGAGCTGAATGTTCCAAATGTGTTTGCACATCATTCTTAGCAGAAGACAGTGTAAGCATGCTGACAGAACACCGTGCGCAGAATGCCAAGACCCAGGCCTGTATCTGTGCTCTCACCTGCTTGCTCCTGAGTGGCTCTTTTTGAGAAAGATACCTGAGCCTTAGTTTTGTCAACTAAAAATGGAAATATTCACCATCCTGGTTCACTTGCCTGCATAAAGATACAAACTGGCAGGAAATGTCTGAATAAAAGAGCAAAACCCAAAACTTCTAGAAAGCACACTGAGGTATTACTTGAATGATTGGCTCAAACACCAAATCTGTTGATGCCCAGGAGAAAATAAAGGCAATCAGCACGCTCACCCCAAGCGTCTAGAGTCAGTAGCCACAGTTACCCTGATCTGCCTGGGCCATAGAGAGGGGGTTACAGTCATCGGTCTGTGACATCATACATTGCAGCCAATCCTGACCCAAATCATGTGACAACAGGACAGACAGAGGAATGTCGTAACCCTAATTGCTTGTGAAGTGTTTTGAAATCCTTAGATTAAAAGCTCCCTGGAAGTCCAAAGTATTCGAATTCATGTGCCCAAGTTCCACCCAGCTGCTTCAGGGCAGCCTGCAACGTCTCTACCTGAGGTCCCGGTCCAGGGTGGCAGAGACCAGCCCCAGCCACCTTAGCACAGAGCTCCTTCCCTTCTGTCCAGCCCCAGGGTCACAACACCCAAGTCGCATCGCAGGCCTGCTTTCTGGGTGAGCACAGCCTGGTCACCTCTTCGTGCATGCCCAGAGGCTAGGACACTGTGCTCAGTCTGACTTCTACCATTTAGGGTGAACAGCTGTCCCCGGGGCTCCAAAGATGGGCACAGGTGCCAGCAGGGCTGGACGGCAGCAGGGAGCGCTTGAGCTGCTGCCTACTCTCCCACCCAGCTCACAGCTGGCATCCCTGCTGCGTTGTGATCTTACTAAGGACGTGTTTCTGTGTGCTCAGGCTGATCCAGTCTCTCTGCAGAGGCACTTGGTCTACTGAGCCATCTCCCTGGCCCCTGCAGAGGCTCAACAAACCTAGTTAGATCAAACATGCTTGCTTTTGTCTTTGTGATTCCGATTGACACCACTTAGGCCGCAGCTTTTCCTTCATTTCCATTTTTACACTCATTTCCATTTTTACACTAACAGGAAGGGTGGGGCCTCCATGAGCCCTTTTAATTTGGGAGGCTCTCAGCAGGAGGTCCTGAGAGGTCTTCAAGGACCACTGGACCACCAGGAAGACGCAAATTTCTGTTGTGATATTATGCTGAAAGGTTCATAACTTCTGTCAAATTCTCAAAGGTTCCTGCCCCCATGGATTTAAAAGTCAGGAGGATGAGACCCTATCTAAAAAAAAAAGTAAGGCATGGTGACCCATACCTGTAAGCACAGCACCCAGGAGGCTGAGGCAGGAGTTCAAGGCCAGCCTGCACTACATAGCAAGACTCTGCCTCAAAAAAAAAAAAAAAATCCCCCCAAAATGTCCAAGCCAGGTGTGTCACAGCCCCAGCTCCCTGGGCAAGCCCCTCCAACCACTCCTCCACTGGGTGAGCCATGGCCACCCCTCCCACCTGCTTTCACCAAACAAGCCCACCCCCACACAACTACTGCCCGCTGACATGCAAAGGGGAACCCACTCAAGTCTGCCCACCTCCTTTCCCCGGGGCTCCAAGACCCCCAAGAAAGTCATCACACCTCTGTACAAAACCAGATTTATTAAAATTCTCTACAGGTCAGTGACAGCTGTCTCACTGGTCGCGTATCTACACACATACAGGAAGGTCTAGTGTTTCTAGCTGTCCTGGCAGAAGCCAGCCCAGTCTCCAGCTGGGTAACGTATCACAGATACAAGCGTCAAACAACCACGAGGGCAAGGGCGAGGGCAGACGGAGCCCGGTCCCTCGCGCCAAGTCCCGCCATTCTACAAGGTCACCTTGCCGACATCATTCACATTTCACGTGGCTTCAGACACGCAGGTTATTCAGACAAACACAGACACAGAACACGCCTGGGAGCCGAACACAACAACACATCGGACATCTGTATAAAAGGCAAGATATATGTACAAAGTACACAGTACGTGAGGTATACACGGCATTCTCACAATGCAGGTTAGTAGTTTGCCTAGGCATAGCCCTTAAAGATGCCTGCCTGGTTTTGTGCCATTTCTTAAAATACAGTATGTTTTGTTTACCCGTTTAACCACCCTATCTCAGCTCAGCCCGCTGGTTTAGAATGTGAGCTGTAGTTTCTCCGTGAAGCTCCATCTTCGTTGGGAGTGAGTTTTTGGTCTGGAAGCGTTGAAACAGAGACCAGATGCCCGCTGCAAAAACAGCTTGGGGGGCTTTGGCGGTAGAGGGTGGGAGCAAGAGGTGAGAAGTCAGGTCAGATGATGTTTCAAGTCCTAAGCAATTGAGGGTATTGGGGGCTTGCTGTGTCCCCTCAGAAGCTGACTGCACAGACGCCTTCATAAACCACACCACACCGTGCAGAGGTCAGCCTGGGGAGCACCCGAGCCTCCAAAATATGCTTTCTTTGAAGCACAAAGATGTTTAGGATTTGCTCCTGAGAGAGGGGAGTGACAAGTCTCCTTCTCCATTCCCTCCTGGACAAAACGCCCCACCTAAGACAGTCTCAGGGAAAAAAAGGAAAGGACCAAGTGCTAGCATATTAAAGGGAGACCAAGAAGCACAAACGGTTTCAAGTCTTCAAGTTAGTTTTAAAAAACTAATGAGCTCAGGGTTCGGAAGCAGCCAGGAGCTCACGCTCTTGGGTTCCTGGTAAGCTGCAGAACGCCCTCAGAGCAGCAGGAGCAAGCGGGTTCCCAGGGCAGGAGCCTCGGTCACGTAGGGTGTCTTCGCAGGATTCAGCAGTCTGGGTTCGGACAGACTCCTGAGCGCCTCAGTCCGCTCCCACAACGGAGCAGAAGCATTGGTACATGTGAGTGTGAAGTAAAGGTGAGTGTTCAACCAGAACAATGAACTTCTGACCAGAGAAACCGCGGTACCAAGTGCAGCTACCAGAGACGAGTCCGGAGACGGCAAGGTTATTGGCCCAAGTCATTTGTCATCCTGTTAAATGATGACAAATGCGCAGTGTACTTCCTTTCCTGCTCCAGTGCTCAAGTTGGTGAGACCAGAATACAGGGTGTAAGGCCCACATTCGCTGCCAGCTTCAAGACTTGCAGAAGCCCAAACCCAACAAAGGGAGAGTCAGTGACAGTTTGCTAAGAAGGGAACAACCAAGCAGAGAGCATTCCACTTGGCTCAAGAGTCACTCATCCCGACCAAGAAGGGCCACGTGGAGCTCTGCAGGGACCCTCTGGACGCAGTCACCTATCTGGGTGGCACCACGCCAGAGGGCCTGTCTGTCTTCAGAAATGGAAATGCCATGTGTGAGAATTATGAGGTTTCTGAGGTTTCTGGGATTAGCAAAAGAAGGAACTAATGTCACTATCCTCCTGGTATTCTGGAACGATCTGGTCTGAAGTTCCCATTTCTGAGTCAGCGTACCCAGGTTCCAAGGCGGACTCAAACCAGGGATGGAGTAAGATTTCGGGAGCAGTGAGTCTCTCAGAAGGCTCTCGTCTCAGGAGGTTGCGGATGAGGCACCTGGCTTTGGGGGAAATGTGGTCAGGAATGCAGAACTGTCCACGTCGGATTTTGGAGAAAAGGGCACTAGGGTCTGAGTCATGGAAGGGGTATCGTCCCACCAAGAGGGTGTAGAGCATCACACCCAGGCTCCAAACGTCCGCAGCCTTTCCAGAGTAGGTCCCCGTGGTGTTGAGAATCTCGGGGCTCACATAAGCTGGGCAGCCGTGTTTGTCTGACAAAGCGTCATCTTCACCCTTGATTATGTGCGTATCTTCGAGGCTTTCCAGTCTGAGCTGGGTTCTGCAGAAGAAAAGAATCAAGCTATTATCTCTAGACCAGATCTAAGGAAATAAGGCCTTGGGACCAGGCATGGCAACCTAGCCCCGTCATCCCCGCTACCCCTGAGCACAGCCTGGGCAGCTCAGTGAGACCACGTCTCAAGATGAAAGGTGCTGGACAGGTGGCTCAGTGGCAGAGTGCTTGCCTAGCCAGGATGGGGCCCTGGGCTCACTCCCCAATACCATAAAAACCAGGTGACACCAACAAGGCCTTCCCAATAGCAGTGCCCAAAGGTACTCATAGCTCCTGAGGTCATTGTTGGTGTGCAGGGGGCCATTTACCCCTTCTCCAGTAACTCAGATTTCACAAACCAATATAAACTGCAATGAGGTTTCAAAGTATTGAGAGAACGCCTGGGGTAGAGGGTATGATGCAAAGTCCCAAGTAGCAGTCATGAAGCTCGAGCTGGTAAGAGATATCCTAATAAGGGTTACACAGCCGGCCAAGTTCACACTGCAGGGCCGGGGGGACCCATCTCAGGAGGATGCTGACATTTTCTACAAAAGCCACTGGGACAGCAAACAGCATCTGCTTCCTCAGAGAGGACAGGCATGACCCTCAAGCCAATCTTTCCTTGGGACGCTGAGTGCCAGGGCCACTCGGACACATGTGCTACCTTGCAGAGCACGGAGCCTGAGGTCACTGTTGGTGTGCCGAGGTCGCTGGTGCTCTGCCCCATACTGATGCACACACACACACACACACACACACACACACACACACACAAGGAAACGCTGAGCCCCAGGATGGGAGCCACAAGGAATTCTGCCAGTTACATTTCCTGGGTGTTTCAACTGCTAAGGACACTCAGCCTGGATAGAGATGCTGCATGAATAAAAAAGTGCAGCCGGTGATCGAAGGGACACCAGAACCCCTGCCCAGCACGTGAGCCCCTGCCCAGCACGTGTGCCCCTGCCCAGCACGTGAGCCCCTGCCCAGCACATCAATGCCCGAGTGCGAGTGCTCTGGGGAGGGCTCCGTTCTAGTGACAGCAGAGCTGTCAGGACTCAGAATCTTTTAGTCAAAGGCTCCATCGTGGAGCTGCAGGTGACTGAGGGTCTCCACATCAGAACTGGCCACCCAAGTCCCCAGCGTCCCCAAAGCCTGAAGTCAGGCTGGGAGGGAGGATTTACTCGGCCTTCTTCCTGCTTCTCAGCAACGGCCGGGCTTCTGTAAGTCACTCATAGTGCTTGCTTCAGCAGCGCACACACTCACTGTGAAGCTAAATGTGCACAGTCGGCCCGAGCTGATGGGTCAATTCCTTTTCCTCTAAAAGGTCTGGGTTTTTTTTTTTTTTTTTCTTTCCTGCCTGCCTTCCTGTTCCCTGGAGTGTAGTATACATGTGCTAACTTCAGTATGTCCTCACCGTGACCTCCCCGTCGTTATGTAAAATACCCATTGGTTCTGTAAACGGAAAATATGACTCAATGCCCACTGGCGGCCCCTCATTGGCTGCTGCCGCACTAAAACCCTGCACCTGTGCTGGCTACACGAACAGTGACAGCCTACCGTTGCTTAACCCCTGGGTTGCCAAACCCTGCCCCCATGACTCTGGCCTGTGCAATGTGGATTTCAAAAGCTGGTAAGGGGGTGTGTAAGGCATGTTTCAGAAAAACGCATCACACTGAAGGAGCGCAAGTTCCAGGAATCAGACGCTTCATTGCAAACAGTTTGCTTTTCTTTGCTAATCGGTATGTTTCAATAATTACTGCAAGGTCAGATACAGAGTCCTGCTATGGCAATTTAACCCTGTACTTTTCAGGGTGCACCAGAGTTAAAGGTAAAAACGTTTGGGTGAAATACACCCTGTGGGTGTAGAAACTAAACAACTCATGCTGCCTCTAAAATTGTACAGCATTACCACTGTCGGTCTTTCCCTAAGATGTGTGGTTCACCGTCTTAAATCAGGTATGGCCTATCTCATGTGGCTTCCTGAATTCTCTTGTCTGAAACCTCCACTTTGAATCTTAATGTCTCCTTGTTCTCTTATCAAGCTCATCTTGTCCCTTATGAGGTAAGCCATGATCTATATTTAGCAATCAACGCTAGCCAACTTTTTTTACTGTCCAATGTGGCTAGTTCTGAAGATATAGCCAACGAGATATCTAAGAAGTCTCCAGACAACGTGAAGAAAGCATGAGGACCTAGCCTGAGATGGCAGAAATGACGTGCAGCAGGCAGAATTCTGCAAAGAGGCCAAGTCAGCCCAGCTGTCATATCTAGGTGTCAGAGAACACCCTGGTGTCCTAGGGCTGACAACTTCTTCTAGCCCTTCCTACTGCAAAGCACAGGTTCACATCTGTATCCCAAACAGCTAACCCTTCCGACGATGGAGACCAACCTTTCTGATCCAGTGGTACAAGTGGGAGGCCCATAGAAGCACTGAGGGTTCCTCAGCTCCGTCCAAGACAGTACAGACTAAACCAACTTTGTCTGGGACTGTTGGGGAGCGGCACCTCTAGCTACTAAATCTAGCTACTAAAACTGTGCGTCCTTTGATCTGCTGCGCAGTGGCACACTGCACCTAACTGCACACTCTATACCTAGTTTTGTTCCAAAAGGCCACAAGAGAAGCTGAGACAGCCACTCACCTCTCCTCCGTGGAGAAGACAAATTTCCTAAGCTTTAGGTCCCCCAGCACGATGGCTGACTGGTGGCAGTGGGCCACAGCAGAGACAATCTGCTTGAACAGCCGGGCAGCCTCCTCTTCTCGAAGCCTCTTGCGGCTTCGCACGTAGGAGTGCATGTCCCCAAAGTCCTTCTCAAAGAAGACATAGGCCTTGGCTTCCCCGAGGATCACTTCCACGATCCCGGTGATGTTGCTGTGCGATGGCAGCTGGATGTAAGGCCTGATTTTGTCCTGGTAGTGTTTAATTGGAAACACCTGCAGAGAGAAGACGACCCATTTAGGGGGCTAGAAATGCAGGTGCTGCTCCAAGTGCCTTAGGGAGCAGGACTAAGCCTGAGCCTCTGAGCCCCCCTCATTTATTACCTAGTTCCCATCACCTCACCCTGTGCAGCCGGAAGCCAGGCACACCTAGCACTGTGGGTAGTCTGGTCTTCCACAAGCAGAGAGCCCAACTCCCTGCTCCGCGGCCCCTCCGTGTTTGCCAGGGATGGATGGCAGCTGTCCCTGAATCTCCAGGAACTCAAGAGTCATCCCCATGCATGCATTTGTCTCCTGTACACCTGAAGGGCTGGTCACAAGGAAGGCACAGAATGCGGTGACTCCGCAGCCTCCAAAAGGAAGCAGTGGCCACAGAGCATGCCCAGCTGTCATTAGTCAGGAGGAACAGATGACTTGGAAGGAGACTGTGACAGTGCAGGCTTGAGCAACCTGCCTACAGTTGTGACTCAGGTGTCAGCAGCAGGAGTTCCATTCTCCCAGGAGGGGAGGGTGCCTGTGAATGAGCTTCTTCTTCTTCTGCATACCCCCCCCCCCCTGGAACACGCCCTGCCCCTTGCACAGGGAGCATCTCCCTGAAGGAGGTGGTTGGTCTCTTTAAGGGCTCTTTGTTCGGTCCAGTTACTCATATCCTAGACTCAAATGGAAATGGTGACACACGGGCTGTCACCATCTGGATTCGGCTATTATCTGCTCACAGGAACTGGAAGGGGTTGCACAATGACTAGACCCACCCCACCTCTGAGGTGGCGACTCTGGCACCAACTGGAAAGATCTCTTTGCTGCCCCCTGCCCCTGCCCTGCCCAGATCACCCCAAACAGCTCTTGGTGACAACCCCCACCCCAGTTTCGGAGGAGAAACAAGCCCCCACACCCACCCACACGAGCACATACTGGGCTCGAGGGTGCGCTTGAAATTTCACGCGTGTAGACAGTAGGTGGCAGCAGCAAGCCCAAGGGGAGTTGGTTGGGGTGTCAGGTGAGTTTCGGGAAACCCAGGAGCAACTTTAACTCCCGGGATAGGAAGGAGCGGGCCGAGGTTCTGGAGTGCACGAGCTCCCCAGCGTCTGTCTCGCAGACTGCAGAGTAGGAGCCGGCTGCGTCTTCGCGCGCCGCCGAAGGTCCGGCGGATCCTGCTTCCAGGATTCGGTTCCGCCTCCCCCTCCGGGATGGGAACCCTTTTGCGCCTAAGAAAATCGCTGCCCGGGAAATAGTGAATGGAAGCAAACGCTCCCAGGCGTGTGGGCTTTCCAAAATTTCTATCCGGGCCAAATTTCCAGCCTCCGCTGCAAGACCCCTAAGACTGCGCCCTTAAGAGGGCGGGGTTCCCAACCCAGCGCGGGTTCAAGTGGGAATCGGCTGGGCGGGAGCCCGAGCCGGCCTTCACCGCCTACAGCTGAGCTGGCGAACCTCCGGCCACAGCTGCCAGCTGCTCCAAGCTCCCTCCCGGCAGGGCGTACTTCCACTACAGGGTGGCGTGGGGGGTGAGGGAAGGGCAATGGCACAGTCCTGGAATCCATTTCCATTCCACAACTTAAATGGAACGCCACGCGCTAGCTAAACTGAGCGCCAAGAAGGCTGTGGAGCCGGCGAAGAAACCCTGCACTTCCTCTAGACCGTGGAGTCCCCAAGATCCCACTCCACAGGAAACCCCTCCGGTTCTCCAAGGGCTAAACTCACCAGGGCCAGCCGCGAAACACTTATCCACCCCGCCCCAAACTCAAGCGTCGGCGAGCTGCGCGCGTGTCTGGGGGACCCCAAGCCCGTCGGCTGTCTGCCTGGGCCCCGGCCCCCGGCCCCCGACCCCGGCCCCAGGAAGCCTACCTTGCAGCGCAGCTCGCGGCCAGTGTGAATGCACAGTGCCCGGGCAACATGCTCGCGCTCGGCCAGGGGCAGCAGCAGGTAGTCGGCGATGCGGCTGGGCCCCGGTACGCTTCCGGAGCTGCCGCCGACTCCCGGCGCTGCGGGTGGGGGCTGCGGGCTGCAGGGCGAGCCCGGGGGGCTGAGGTAGTCCGGAGGGCTGGAGCACTCAGAGAGGCGCGGGCATTTGGCCGCCACGGCCGCCGCGTCGTCCGCGTCCAGCAGGCGTTTGGTCGGGGTGCCCCGGGCGGCCGGGAGCAGCAGAGCCGGACTGCGGGGTTGAGAGGCGCCGCTCATGGCAGAGCGCACGGGACCGACCCGCATCGCGGCCCCGGCCGGGGCGGCCCCGGCTTTGTAGGTCCCGGGATTCGCGAGGGAAGAGACTGCGGGCTTGAGGCCGGCGCTATGACTTCTTCCAGTCCGCTGGATGGAGTTTGCAGACAGGGTCTGGCTCGGCCCCCACCAGGGGCAAAACCGGAGCTGCTCCTCCGTGCTCGCCTTGCAAGCAGGAACCACGCTGCCGGGGCGTCCGGGGGTCGGAGGCCGGCTCGGGGTCCACGACCCCCGCTGGCACCGGCTCCAGGCTCCTTCTCCGGGGCGGCCGCCGCTATTGTTGTCGAAGGTCCCAGAGACCGAGGCGGCCTGCGTTCCCAAGATCCGGAGCCGAGAGGACGGGATTCCGCAGGCTCGGCGGAGCCAATGTACTTCCCAAAGCAATTAGTCTCGAGTAAGAGCCGGAGCAAACTTTTCCGCCACGCTCGGGATCCCGGCGCGCTCCCGGGCTTCAGGCGAGTGTGCGAGCTAGCGAGACGCGCTCGGAGAGAGTGGCGAGTGTGAGTGTGTGCGCCGCACAGATCCGGGCCAGGGCACTCCTCCTTCTCCTTTCCTCCACCTCCTCCGCCTCCCGGTGACTCACGCTGTATACACACACACTCACAGGCCGGGCTGTGTAAACAGTTGGGAAGCCGAGTTGTGCAATGAGGTGGCTGCGACGACTCCGGCCCCGCCGCCAGGGCAGCAGTCACCGCAGCCGAGGGAGGGGATTGGGGGGAGGGGAGACGAAGTGGAGGCTGGGGGATGGGGCGGCCGGGGGACTGGGGATGCTCTGGGCGGCGCACGCCCAGGCGCAGGTGGAGCATCCCGGGCCGCCCGGGACGCGCACACTGCCCCTGGGCAGGGCTGGGCAGGAGGAGAGCGCGCCCCCTACCCTCCGGCCTGGCCTCGGCGCTGGCAGTGAAGGAGGGGGCGGAGGAAAAGTTCCCGTGACGTCAGGGTCCCGGGGAAGTGGGCGGGCGGGGAGGGGGGAACAGGATCGCTGATTGGTGCGCGCGCCTCATTCACTGCCGCACAATGGGCCACCGGCACGCGGCGGGCTCTTGCGCCCGCTGTCGGGTGCTGAGCCCTTTGGGCCCGGCGTCTCCCCGCTGCTCCTCGGCTGGGCAGCTCGAGTTAGAGCCGCGGGCGCCGCTGAAGTTCGGCTGCAGCCGGAGGAGGGGGTGAGGGAGCAAGTGATAAATTCCAGAATCAGTCATTTCCCCCCACGCGGTAGTTCCGGGGAAGACCTGTGCGTGGTAGTGGATGTGGCTTTTTTTTCCTTTTCCTGCTCCCTCCCATCTCTAATCCCCAGCGTCTGTTCGCTTCCACAAATAGAACCTTCTGTTGGATGAAATAAAAGCAAACACAGGGCCTTCTGCGCTGCCTCCACCTCCACGCCCTCCCGCGCCTGCCGCCCGCCCGGATTGCACGGAAATAGCTTCTCCTGCTCCCGGGCCGCCCCTTCGTGGTGACTCGCAGAAGGAGCTTCCTGAGCCAGGGCTGGTGGGAACAAAGGATGTGGGGACCTGCGGAAGGGGTCCACGTGGCCGCCGCCGAATTCTCACCTCTTCCCGGCCCCTGCGCGCGCTGCAGAGGCTAGGACCAGGTGCAGCCTGGATAGGAATCCAAAGTCAAAGGCTACCTAGGGATGCTGCCTGCACCCGCGGCCCTGGCAGGTCGTGTGAGTCCATTCGTGCAGCGGACTGTGGGCCGGCGTGCAAGGTGTGCTTTGTGCAGAACTTAACGAAAATATTTTGAGATCTGCCGGGTTTTTTTCTTGAGAGAACCGGGTCAGTTTGGAGTCCCTGGACACCCAACATAGATTACTATTACCAAAATCCTCCCTTGCGCTTCTGCTAAATACTTAATTTTTAAAAACCAGGCCAAGCCCCAAGAATAAATCGTTTTCTTTATTAAATTCTCCATTCAGCAAACGCTAATTAAGCATCTACCAAGGGCTAGGCGCTGGGGATTGAAGTATGAAAATTGAAACAGTAAAAATAGCACCGTCTGAGGCCTTTAGTGCCCTGTCTCAGCACTTCACACGTGTTACTTTGCTTCAGTTTTACAACCATCCTACGGGGTTATTTTTTGCCCCGTCTAGGAAGAAAATGAAGCCTGAGAAGATTACATTGCATGCTGTGGCTGACCGGGCCACACGTGGTAGAGGTTATGCTCTTAAGAATTCATGAAGACTGGGAGAAGAGATTAGATTTGTGGGGGCAGGGACAGGGATGGGGGGGGCTCTGAGTGGAAGGTAGGTGCGGGGAGTGACTACGGGATGGGTGGGACCACAAGTGGAACCTAGGAAGATAGGTTGGGTGTGCATGGTGACAGCTCAAAGCCATGCTGAGGAGGTGTCCAGGAGAGATCCCACCTGAGGTTTTCTGCATTTCAGGACTCCTTTATGCCAGAGTCTAACAGCCCTGCACTGGCAGCTGGGCCGCCATACCGGAGGGCAGCCCCAGCGTCTCTTTTCTTGCAGGACACACCTGAGCACCAAGCCCCTGAGGCCAGGCTCCTGAGAACCTGCTGCCTCCTCTCAGGCCAGCTGCTGGTCACCCAGCCTGCCCCAGCTGTCCCTCCCCCAGGACTGGCCCTCAATAAACTTTCCTGTGTTCTCTTGCCCACAGGTACCCAGCCAGGTTTCCCCAGAGGGAGGACCCAGAGGGACAGGTGCTAGTGGGCAGGAGGCAGAATGGTCAGAGTGGTCACATTGGCTCTGCCCTGCTGTCCTCATGGCTGCAGCCCACCTTGCCTGTCCTGTCTGATGAAAGCTTTGGCTATAGCTCGGTGGTGGAGTTCCCACCAGCATGCCAAGGCCATGGGTTCCATTCCCAGCTCTGCAGTGAGCTGGAAAGGCACCCCAGCCCTGGATGTCTCGGGCCCTCTTGCCCAAGGTGAACCACCTCTGAAAGCCTCCCAGTGTCATCCCTGCCAGATAGGGTCCTGAGGACTGTCTTGAGATTGTGTCACAGCCTGGCTCCCTCCACCTTCTGCTTCTTCCTTCCCATGGGGCCCCCTAAATACCTGCTGATGCTACTCTCCAGCTCAGAGTGTACTTTTGGGGAACCCAAACTGTGGCACCCCTCTTCCAGGGACTCACTTCTGGGATCAGGTGGCACCACTTGTCCTCTAGTACTCGTGTGGCAGCAGCTTCCTGGTATTGCCAGTCTCTGAGTCACCCCAGTACTGTGCTGGGCTCTTTTGGCTTCTCTTCTTCCTTTGTGACTAGTTCCCTGAGTTAAATTCTTTCCCCTAAACTTCCTGGCCCAGGTTCTGTTTTCTTGACTCACAGAAGTCTTGTCCAGTCCCTGTATCCAGAGTGCTCTTCGTGGCCCTCGTCTTAGGTCAGGACAGTGCCCGGTTCCCACTGTGAGGTAAGTGTCCTAGGTCACTTACCTCCCCTCAGCAAGCTGTAAACACCTCCTCTGTACCAGTGTTCCTAATAAACACTGGGGCCACAGTGACACAAAAAGCAAAACTGTCTTGTGTCCCTCATCCACTCCCTAGATAGCGCTTGGAGTCACTTTTCTAAACTTTGAATTTGATCAAATCTGGCTCTGGCTAAAACCCTGCAGGAACACTCAGATAAAATCTGGATACCACAGTATGGCACAGTCAGCTCTTCTCCGGGTTCCTGCCTCCCCTCCCAGACTCACTTTCCTCACCCCTGGTCTCTGCCTTCCCCCTGCCTGCCTCTGGCAGTGCCCCAAGACACATCCACCATCACACTCTGCACTTCTGCCTGTGTCTTTCCATCCCACTAGAATCCCCTCCCCTCCCCTGTCAATCTAACAAACTTTTACTCATCCTTCAAAACACCACCCAGATTTCCCCATCATCTACAACAGATGTAAACGTTGTTCTGGGCGCAGTCGAGCCCTCTCTCTGACCATCCCTCAGGACCCATCTGGCCGGGCATCCAATATAAGAGCAGCGCTTAGTCAGTGTCAGCTGAGTACACGTGCAGTGGTGCGTAGGGCCACACATGCGAGCCTGAGAGGCGAGATAGAGAAAGCCAGCATGCAGGCAGAGGCGGGGCCAGAGGTTGTAGGGGGAGCAGGGATCCAGCTCTGTGTGCCGGGTCTGCGTGCTGGGAGGTGGTG